GTATGATCACCTGTTGTTCCATACTATCGATGCCTTCACCCCTAGCTGTCCCTCCCCCCACACTGACCAAGAATACCATAGTTCACAGATCAACTATGGCAGATGAAGTGCACAGGCAGGAAGTTAGAATGCCAAAAACATTCTGAATCCTTCTGATCAGACTTTTGCAGATGCTATGGTGAAAGCCATTTTTGCCCTACTTCATAGGCATGGTAAAACATTTGCAACTTTGCTGAGAATGGGGCTTATGCTGCCAGTGCTTTAACATAAACTTGTATGAGAATGGATCATACTTGTATTCTCTTTTCACATTTTTTGCAATGTATATTTTTCCATCCATGCATGATTCTAGATCAGTGGCCCTAAACTTTTCAGGATTGTGCCCCCTTTATCCTTGTCCAGGCCTCCCCGCCAGGGCCAGGAGCAGGGCTGAAGCTCTGAGAGAGGGGATGCGGCCAGGGGTAAAGAGGCTGAGGCTGGGGCCGCAACTGGAGGCAGGTCTGGGGCTGGGAGTGGGGCTGGGAATGGAGCCACGGCCAGGGGCCGAGCCTGGGGGCAGGGCAGGACATGGGGCCGGGAGCTGAGCCGCAGCTGGAAGTGGGGCCAGAGCAGAGCAGGGCAGGGTGGTGCTCCCTCCTTGCCCCCATAGGGGCCGGCCTGCCTCCCCTCGTAATCCTGAACATTCCTCCATGTCCCCCTAGAGGGGCGCACCCCACAGTTTGGGGACCTCTGTTCTAGATACGTCTTTATATCTATATACACACATAGTGACACTATTATGTCATGGTTCTTGCATGTTTATAAATCTCAGTAAGTAGACAGACTTTATTATTATTATTATTTTTAATATTTTTAGAAAACATACTTCCCTGTAAGTTATGGTATGTCAGCCATTCACATCATGTATCTCTGAAAAGGTGTGCAGTCACTGTCATTTTGGATGGATGCCTTTCGCTGGTTGGAATTCAGCCAGCAATGGGGGTCAATAATCTCCTTATTGTGGGTGAACATTCTCCAATGTGATTAAGTATTGTGCTATATTCAGACAGCTGTAGGAACAAGTATGAGACAAGTCTGAAGAGTGAAAGGCTTCCTTCTGAATACATGCTGCACCACTTTAATCCCTCTTTCAATCAAAATCTACTTGACTCCTCGTAAGGAAAGAATATCATGGCAAACCTGTGGGATGAGTATCCTGTACCATGTGTCAGCTCCCAAACCTTAGATTGCTTCTCAAGTCTCTCTTGTCGTATGTGAAGTAGACCACAATGTCAACGCTCGCTTATTTTAACAGACCAGTGGGTTTCTCTTTCAGATCACGCAGCATAAAGCTCGATGGCAGCCAGCAATGTTCAGTAGATTAAGTTTCAGTGGTAGCCGTGTTAGTCTGTATCAGCAAAAAAAACCGAGGCGTCCTTGTGGCACCTTAGAGACTAACAAATTTATTTGGGCATAAGCTTTCGTGGGCTAGAACCCACGTCATCAGATGTAACTCATTTCCAATGACATGCATCCAAAGAAATGGGTATTCACCCACGAAAGCTCATGCTCCAATACGTCTGTTAGTCTATAAGGTGCCACAGGACTTTTTGCTGCTTTTACAGATCCAGACTAACACGGCTACTCCTTTGATATTCACTTCCAATGGAGCATCAAGTGCATTAGCAGTTTTATATGCTGGTCTACAGTATACCCTGTCTCAGCTTTCCTGTTCATATAGGATTTTGTGGAAGTACCTGTGTAAGACAGTAATGTCATTAGACTAAACTTCATCATCCTGAATTCTCATCAATAGATCTTTGACATGGAAATATTAATTTTTAACTATCAAATTTCTTCTTCATGGCATTGTGTTTTGTTTCTAAAATTACATTGGCTGATATGAGACGTGCTTTCCTAAAACCGCAACAATTTGTCTTGTCAGCTTGAAGGAATTTATAAATCAAGTTCTGTGGCTCTTATTCTGCCCATATACCATCACCAACACCGTAGTTTCTTCAGCTGGTGTCAACTTGGTCTGAGCTCAAGAGATGATTGAGACAGTGCACTGATTATTTAAAAAGGAAGCCCAAGACTGTGTGCACAGTTGCTCACTAACATCTGTGTATGCACTTGCAATTGTTTGTGAAATTTTAGTATGTGCAAATGGCTAGTTATTGGCATGCACAATAACTTGATTTCCAAATAAAATTCAAGTAATTGTGCACTAATTTTTTACATTTAGACATCAGCCCTCCTCTCTCTCTCTCTCTCTCTCTCTCTCTCTCTAAAAAAAAAAGTGGTCCAGTAGATAGGAGATCTTTTGGCTGCTGACAGCTATTATTTGCTGGGAGTCAGAAAGCAGATTCCCAACATTTCTCTCACCGCTGTGCCTGTGTATTTTAACAAACTTGAGTGGAATTTATCTTGAACAATTTGATCCCCCTTCCCTGTGAGTGTAAAGCAACACATACAGTTTCTAGAGTCGCAGCACATGGTTTTTTTTGACCATGTGTGGGGGTTGGGGAATAAGAAATGGGAAAGTTAGACTAACAACATGTTTGGTAGAGGTTCTTAAAATGTAATAATTTATCCAGCAGCATGCAGTGTCCATCATGTGTCCTTCTCAATCGAAAAGTGAAAACCAGGAGCCCAGCTCTGTTATAGTGGAACAAAACTTCCACCACCACCCCACTAATCTGGGAGTTCAGGGGTCTGAAAGTGCTTCTAGGAAATGGAAGGTTAGGGGTCAGAGAGTAATTCTCCCACCTGAAATTCTCAGGCTGAAGCTACCACAGAGTGCCTAGTAGTGTTAATTGTAGAGGTGGTTTTTTTATGAAGTGGATGCACATCCTCCTGGAACTAGATGGAAAACCAAAAAAGCGATCACAGAGCTATCTGATGTGATCAACACTTACCCCACTAAAATCTTGGCTAGATCTGAACCAGTGATTTTAGAGATGAAAGGGCTCAGTATAGTCAAGTCTTCGTGCTATGAACAGAGCATTTTGGTGCTTAGAATCTCTCCTCATGTCCTGTTGCATTGGCTGATGCATTGTGCTCTGCCAAACTGCTCCTGAATAAGTACAAAAAGTAAACGCCAAAACACAAGTGCACAATATTAGCAGAAAACAATATGGGCCTAATCCTGGACCCATCCTTATGTATGCAGGTTATCCCTTTGACGTCAGTGGGACCAGTGACATGAGGAAGGCTAGTTGTGAGTGAGAGTTGCAGTACTGAGCCCTAACATAAAGAAAACTTTAAGAAAAACCAAAAAGGGCAGTGCAGGTATGATACAAAGCCCATTCAGTCAATAGGAGTCTTTCTGTTGAACTTTGGATCAGGTCCAAGACCTTAATCCTGACCAATTTAATTCTGCGGACACAAGATGAGAATTGTTTGAATGGAAGCTACTTTACATTGAAGCCTGAATTGAGCTAATGTTTAAACAGTTAACCAGGAATTGTATGCTCTTTATTATTATTTTTAATTTTATTATACAACACATTTTTCTATATCAGTGCATGTATTTTGTACATCATCGGCATTTCATTACTACTAATAACCATTAATAATTAGTACTGACTATAAATTACCATTCTTCATTGAGATTACAAGAGGTGCCATATAAATATCCAGAAAATATCAACTTTAAAGGGCAAACCTGCTAATAAAAATAACATACATCACATAATGGTCAAAATGCACTATAATATTTACAGTCTTCATTCAAATTCAATTTTTATGCTTATAATTTACAGGCTAAGACAGAGTTGGTTAAATGCAGTGATTCCCTTTATAGAGTGTGTATCTAGTTTTGATAGATAAAAATATGTATAGTTAGCATGATAGGATCTTTGTTCAGTAAAATTATTATTCCTAATACTTGGCACATACATTGTGCTTTCAGAGTACTCAACAAGTATTAACTATATAAGCTGCACAACACCCTTGGCTGTGGTAAGTGGTGTTTCCCTATTTTCAGATGGGGAAGTGACAGAGGTGAAGTGATTTGCCCAAGGCCACACTGCAAGTCAGTGGCAAAGTTGGGATTAGAACTCAGGGCTTCTACGGTTCCAGTCCCAAACTCAGTCAGTTTAGACCATACTGTCCCACTAATAATATACCAGTAGCTATGGTTCATAAGTTGTAACACAGTCTCAGGTTTGTTACATGCATTCCCACAAATTGCTATCTCTAGAATAGAAACTGTGATTAGCAGCTGCATGTTATAGACGAACACCATAAACTTATGTACACTACGCTGATTACAAAGAGTTGAAAGGATACGAATGCTGATCCTTAATACAGGGAACTGATTTACAGTAGAATGCTTCACTGTGCAGGACAGTAAAGTGTCTAAAGCTATGGTATTTATGTAACTTTGATTTCAAATATCCTGTTCCTAACTGGAAAAACAAGTTAAACATTATAGAAGAAATATTATTCTCACAGTAACAAACTTTGGGCTAGATCCTCAGATCTGGCTGAGCAGTGAATGAGGGGATAAAGGTGGCTAAACCATTTTCCCACTTCTCTGATCCTGGGCCAGCCAAGAGCCCATTTGGCTCCATTCATAACTTAGAGCAGCCTAAGACTGCTACTAGTTACATCAGCTAGAATGATCACCTAATGGCTGCTTTGTCAGTCAGAGATCACCAGAGTCCAGTGTACTTCTGCCAGTCCTGCAATGCTGGGGCAGGAAGTGGGTTAGCTATGCTGGCTGGCTTTGTGTCACCCAGGCGTTTCCCTACCCAAGGGGAATCCCCAGCTAGGGTGACCAGATGTCCTGATTTTATAGGGACAGTCCCAATATTTGGGGCTTTGTCTTCTATAGGTTCCTATTGCCCCCACACCCCCTGTCCCAAGTTTTCACACTTGCTATCTGGTCACCCTATCCCCAGCTACCCATTTAAGAGCAGTTTTCTGTTTGCTTTCACTGCCTGAACACTACAAAACAGCTGGAGAGGATGAGGGGTTTTGAGAAAATTTGGCCTTTTAAAATTTTAACATTACACTGACCATTAAGAAACTTAGATGTGTTAATATCATGAATGAACAGCTAGTTGGGTGCATACCTTAATTATGTTTAATTATCTCAGGCCAAGTTCCGCCATTGAAAAGTGGGTATGTGTGTAACAGGGGACAGGGCCACTGTCTGGTCTTGGCGAACAAGAGGTCAGCCTTAGCTGTGCTTCTGCAGGTGCTGTGGGGAAGAACCATAATTTAACACTTTGGGCGGCAGAGAGGAGAGACTGCTGTGTGTAGACAGACCTCCACTACCAGGGCTTATAAGACTGAGCTGACTCCCGGCTCAGGGAGGGTTTTTTAAATGTTAGTTGTGGGTTTTTTTTATTTTTCTGGTTATAAATATTATCCCTTGAGGAAAACCTTTGCTGACTGCACCTGTCTATTTTCTCCTGAGGCCTTCCACCAGTTTACAGCATGTTCCTACTGATTTCAGAACAAGTGGAGCTCATGTAAATGAGGGGGAAATATGGCCCCCTCTAAGCCTTCCATAAAGCAGAGAGAAGAAAACGCACTAACAATTTCATCTGATTGCAATCGCCAATGAATGTGACCGGGAGAAATGATGGCTATTTTTTACGCGGATACTTCTCATACTGTGGTGACGTCTTCTTACTAACATATGAAATCACCTTTTTGTACAAGCCAATCAATCGGTCTTGTCCCAGCTTAAAAGCAATGATGACTATTTCCATACCGATGACAATATAGAGGGAAAAAAACAAGAAAAAGTTGGGATGTTCCAAGTGAATATCACCAAACCCAATTGTTGTCAAGGTGATAAAACAAAAATAGAAAGCCTCCTCGAAATCCATGTGGTTTTCCCAGTTTGGAAGAATAGCGGCTGCACAGGAGATGTATGCAAAGACAATTAGTGCCATTAGCAAGATGGGCACATCTAGCTTTTCGAGTTCTTTGCCAAAGTTTTCGATGACACAGGTCATCTTCCCTGAGTCTAGTTCGGGACATGAACTCCATCTTTCAAATTTGTTAATTTTTGGTGGCATAAGGTATTGATTTTCTCTTGCAATTAGCATTTCAAATATTTCAGCATTCTGGTATTGCAGTGACTTCCTTTTAACAGAGGATTGGCTTTTCAGCACTTCCGTGATACTTAAAGGTTCCTGGATGACTATTTTGTGTTGCATAAGCAATGATGATCCAGTTTTTATCTCATTGTTTTTCTTACAGATGCATCCAGAACACAGTTTAGCTGGTTTAGAGGCTAACATTTTTGAATTAAGTTTCCTAAATTTATTGTAAGACTTGGATAAGATAGTTGCAAGGATGTCTCCCAGGTCTGTCAGAACCAAGAACATCAGAGGTATGCCAAATAATGCATATAGCATACACAGATATTTTCCAACCTTTGTTACGGGGTAGCTATGGCCATAACCTAAAAACAAAATAAAAATAGAACACTGCAATTTATTTTGTATTCAAAACATTGAACTTGTAATACAGTTTTAAGTCAATAATTTGTGTGGTGATATTTTAGTCAATAGTCTGTGTGGTTCTTTTTTTTTTTTTTTTTTAACATTTATCTCAATCCTTTTTAAAACTTCTTAGGCTGGGGGCTTTGTACATGGGTCTGACTTGGAGCAGAAGGACCTTCACTGTATTCCTTCTGAAAGAGCATATGCACAAACCATAAAACTTACCTGAAAGCAGAGAGTTTTTTGCATGTGGTAACTCATACGTAGAAATTGACCCAGAATGGAACACAGATCAAAACTCCCTGTATTTTGGTAAATTCAGATCTGGATTCTAATCTGAATTTTTGCAACTGGTTATTCTGTTTAATAGCTTGGAACAATGAATCCCAGCACCCTCAAACCTTATGACTCGGGGCCATTGTTGATCATAATTGTCACTGTCAATGATTTGAAACTATTTACAGTTTGTTAGATCTGATTTTAATGGCAGGAGTTGCATTTGACATATGGAGAGTGGTAAAACTGGGCTTTAGGGGACACACATTTTCTCCATTGAAGAGCATGGCTGGAAACCAATAACACTTTACTCTAGTGATCTAAAAAGTACCGATATCAAATGTAACTAATGCAAAAATATTACCAGACTTCCACTGCCAAATGATCAATTTAAGTAACAAAATGGTAGTGTAAGATATTCAGCTGCAAATTAAATTAGGACATAGGACTCCTTTTCTGCAGTTATGCCATTGCTTCTTTGGATGTGAAGTTAAAATCCTAACCCTAAGTTAATGCATTTCCATTAGGGAAAAGATAACAGAGAGAAATTGTATTAAAGTTTTTAATGGAAGTTCTCTGTCCTCCAAAAAGGCATAAAGAATCCTTTTTAAAAAATGCTTTTCTCTTCCTTAGTCAACACTGTTTCCTCTTAAACGATTTTGGGGTCTGTCTTTAAGATTATTAAACCAAATACTGGAGTATAATTGCCAAGTCACCTTCATTCTTACTAAAGATAGTTAAAGTCTTTATGGTCTAATCCAGCCTCTGCCACTAACTCAGTATGTGGCCTTTGGCAGTTTATTTATCCTGTGTGTCTCCATTCCCACATCTGTGAAATGGGGATGCTAATTATTACTCTGCAGAGGTAAATGGTGAGGATTAATTACTGTAATTAATATGTGGAGAGTGATTTCTTTTTTCCTTTTGATTCATATACATGAAAGTGCCTATCACAGGTTATAGTTGCTTTAACATTTATTACAGATATAATCCAGCCAAATAACAAATCAACAGCTGATCTCACCCCACACAAATGGCTCTCAATCAACAACAAAAATGAATATCCCTGGCTCCTCACCTCCTCTAGACCCCCAAGCATCTTAGGCCTTCCAAAGAGCCTAAGCAAACAGATGTGGTTTATAGCTTCCTGGGAAGGTCAACAAATAGGGCTTATTTTGGATCAAGCACATAGGAGGGGAGTAGGAGTGCTTCTAAGTGACTAACTCACTTCTGAAAATAAGACTTAAGGTCCTAAATCACGTAAGAGATTTGGACACATTTACCTCTCATAAATATTTACTACTACTTACTAGCACCTGCTACCTATTCTTCCTCATTTTTCACCACAGAGGAAACTATTTTGCATTCCTAGTGTGAGACCCTCTTAAATTGCACTCCCCCCAAAAATAGCATCCACCACAGCACTTACTAGATTATATCCGTAGCCAATTTGGTTTGATGTTTAAGCAAAATGTGTCCATACTGATCCTTTGGTCCTTACTCAAGCAAAACTCCCCATTGAAATTAATGGTTTCTAATTTTAACTATGGTTTGTCTTCCTTTTTAAATCATTTGCAATAGCAAAATATTATATGTGGAAGAACATGAAATTGCAGGGACAAAAGAGAACCAAACTTCCATGTAGACCCATTCCACAAATCAGCTCTTATATTGTAGTCAGGGGGGATTTTGCCTGAGTCAGTAAAATAAATAAATAAAATCCTGATGCCTCTCTCACAGAAGTCCCATAAGAAAAGGTGCAGATGTAGACACACCCACTCTGGTTGTAGCTCGTCTGCTGCCTACATAAGCAGAGGTACTTGTGGGGTAGTTCAGTCATATCTAGAAAACCAGTGGTGCAGGATATTCCATGTATAATAACCACCCTGGTGTGATTACATGCTGGTTCTATGCTGTAAAGAAAACAGATGGATTTTTTTTTTAATGTAACAAAGAGGAAGATTAACAGCCATGGAAGGGCAGAAAGGGGTAACCAAAGAAAGTAGTCTAAGGAGTGGGAAGGAGACTTTAACCACGCAACTTGAGATCTTGAAACTGATTTCTTAATAGCAGAATTGAATAGGGAGGAGTATAGCTGAGGTTATACAGGAGAATGAATTCTGAGTCCAAGCACTTTTAGAGGCATGAGTGTGTGCATGTTGTTTGAAAACTGTGGATTCTGTCATATCTTATGCTGAAGGATTATGTCAGATAACTTTTCATACCCATATTTAGTTTAACTGAATTTTGGTCAGTTGAATAAATACAGGTTTCAGCTGGATATCTGACTATGTTACCGTCTTTAAAAAAAACACACGTCCACCCTAGAAATCTTCTATCTCTGTCACTTTCCTTGTTAGCCTCTCTGGATTGCTGCTTGCTGCCTCCAGACCTTCCCTCACAAAAGGTGGTGTTGGTCATTGTCTCAGGCATGCACGTTCTAACTGAGTGGTTCTATATGGAAGACTTAGTCACTGCCTGCGCTTGCCAACGGGTGAGACTGGTGTCAAGAAGAACAGCAGAAGCACATGGAAAGTAGCACCCCATAGTGTTGTAGAGAAGGGACTAGAACAGGTCATTTTTGTTTGTATCTAGGTCATCTGTCTACACCTGGAGCCGGAATGGAAAATTTCAGGAGTAGTGGTTTGAGCATTGGCCTGCTAAACCCAGGGTTGTGAGTTCTATCCTTGAGGGGGCCATTTAGGGACCTGGGGCAAAAATCTGTCTGGGGATTGGTCCTGCTTTGAGCAGGGGGTTGGACTAGATGACCTCCTGAGGTCCCTTCCAATCCTGATATTCTATGATTCTACGAATATGCCTCGGTGGATACATAAGAAAGAATTAATTATAATGCCTTATATTTATAACACACTTTTCAACCTAAACAACTGTGAAGCTCTTTAAAATCAGATCACCACCTCTCTGGTGGAGGGCAACACCCAGCATAATACACAACAGTGGGGAGGGCAAGAGCACATTTTGAACCAAAACAATAGAGAAAACTTGTTTGTTCTTTTTTACAAAAAAGTTGCATTAGGTCATGATGACCATGTGTGCATGCACCTCAGCATTTAATTTGCATGTGCAATTACAGCAATCTAAGTGCTAAAATGCATTAGAATATACTGGTCTAGAGAGCACTGGATAACATTTTAACCCAAACTACTCACTACAAATATATGTTGTTCCTTTGTGAATTCATTGGATGAAACCCATGAGTTAAATGCAGTGATTAGCATCCTATGTTTAGTGTACTTTACCTCAGAACTTACCCACTGTTGTGAACACAGTACAGCAGAAAAAGAGAGACCCAAGGAAAGACCATCGTTCTTTTGGATCGTCAAACCATTCCAACTTAGCTTTGATAAGCAGGTCATGGACTCTTTTCTTAAATATCTTCTCGTTTTCTGTCATATTTTCTGTTACAATAACAAAATAGCATGTGGTAACTGCTTCAAGACTCTGGGCCACCTCATCAGCTGCTGTAAATCAGCCTAACTCCATTATGCCGGTTGAGGATCTGGCTCTGTTACTTTAAAAGAAGAACCTATCCGCACACAAACCTATCTTTGCCCATGTTGTAAGTAGAGTCAGGCTAATAGCTGTGGTGAAGAAACAGAGGAGGGTGGGCTGATGGGTGAAAGCATTAAAAAATGAGGACAAAGAAACTGGGTAATTTTTAAAAAGAGAAAGATAGAAGATATACCAAAGAGAGAATGACACAAAATTTGACCTCTCTCTTTCATGACATCCAGCTCTTTTCTTTTAAGTACCTGGTTTATTCTTCTTCTGGTTGAATAACTGAACTGGGGGGAGACGGCGGTAAGAGGGAAAAGAGGTGCAACCAGCATGGTCTTTTACTTAAGAAAGTAAAACAATTTGTAATCGGAAGATAAACAGATTTGTGGTCTACTGCTGAGACCCATGGCCCCTACCTGTGGATAAATACCAAATGCATTATCTCTAGCAGCTACTCCTATAGCCTGCACATATAGGCATCTTTGGAGTGTGACTTACCCCTGTAATCCCTCCCTGATAAAAATCACTTCCAAAATACAGTAAGCTCAGTTGAAAAAAGGCACTCGTATTCTGGAATAAGTGTCCACAGAGGGTTTATACTGAAATAAATAACTTGTCTGGAATAATTATTCTGGAGTTGCTATTTTGGTAAATTTTTAAGTGTAGACAAGCCCTCAGAAAGAGCCAGTGACCATTCACTAAAAGCTCTTTTATCTATTTAGTCTGCTGTAGACAATGAATAAGTGCTACCACCCCAGTCCCCACCACCCTCTCTTTCTTTGCCATCCTGACATTATATCCCCTCTACTTGGACCCATCCTTCACATAAATGATTATTAGGATCCAGCTTTTCTTTGACTCTCTGAACTGTTATGTTTTTGTTTTGTGAGGCAGCAGGCTGACCTCCTATTGCCAGGCGACTAACGGAGACCCCCATGAGGGATGAACTGAGCTTGTTACAATAGCTAAGCAAGCTCAGTCACTGTTTTGCTACCCAGGGTAACTTTAAATCTTTCCAGTGATGCAAGACAAAGAGAAGTAGATAAGCACTACAAAAATCTGGTCAAACATTCACATAGGGATCGTGGAAGCTTACAGCCTGGAAATCATAATTAAAGCAAATAAATACACTCTCTAAACGTAAGGAAAAGCTGCTTCCAAGCTTACCCTTCATTATTTTGAAGTATATAGTCACAAGTTAAGAGATCTAATTTGAATGACAAGGGGATCAGTAATACCCTGTAAGCAAAGTCATTTTTCTATTACTGCACATACCTGTAAAATTTTGTGAGAGGTTCCACAGATTCAGCATAAAATCCTTATAGTCTTTATTTTCATTGCAATTTCTGTTACCCTCAATGTGAGAAAACATGACAGCCCCCAGAAAAGCATAGATCACTAAAGAAGAGATGAAGCAGGCATGAGGAAACACCACCCAAAACACTTTTGTGCACATCTTTTTGTCTTGCTGGGGACGAGATCTGAGTTCCATCCTCAAGACTCCGTTTGGAAAAAATCAGCTAGAGGTTTCAGAAACAGGGACGTGAGAAATCTCTGGCATTTCAGTGAAGCTTCTCCTAGCTGGGAAATGAGAAATCCTCTGTTTCATGCTTTCAGAAGGAGGACTTTATAACTGAACACTGTAGTAGTGTCCCAATGGGCCCTGGAAAGAGCCTACGACTAATCAAGTCTTAAAATATCTGTCAGATGATGATACAGCATGCTATAGCACTGAATTACTATTGATCAGGGAGAGCTGTAATGCACACAGATGACCAGCTACTGTATGTATCTACTTGACTAAATTGCAGTTTAAAGTTTCTTGTACTGAACTTCAGTTTTTGTTTTTCATTGGCACAGTGGAAGCACAGTGGAAGTAACAGATGAAAAGATGCACAGTGTAAATAAAGGACATGTATGTGATATGGGACATTCCACCAGGAATGAAGGGGAGAGACCTATAATTTATCAGAGGCAGACAGTGCTGGGACAAGGGTCATTCCGGCAGGTCTGCAGAATAAGTCCATCTCTCCTACTGATGCATTAAGCTGCTGTCTAGGCCACCTTATATTGGTTATTTTCTTTAACTGTAAAGGATTTTGTCTGAGGCCAAACCATGAAGTCCTTGCCCAATTCTCGCCCAATTTTTAGCCCCATGCTAGTGACTTTTCTGGAAGCACATCTAACCTTCAAAACCAAAACTCTCACTCTTATCCCTCACTCTGAGACACTGAAAGTGATGAGCACTGTCACTGTCCTTTGCTATTTTTAACAGTGAGGGTAACTAGAACAGGCTACAAAGGATGTGGTAAATTCTCCATCTCTTGGAAGGCTTTAAACAAAGCCTGGAAATCCTCTAGTACCCCCACAAGATATTGAGCTAGCAGCTGCTGACATGTTATGGCCTTTGCTATGAAGGAGAGCAGACTAGCTGATCATAATGATTCCTTTTGGCCTTAAAATCTGTAAGCTAGCTCCTCGGTTGTGGTCCGTTGTGGAGCTCCAAGGTGTGGTGTGTTCATCCCAGCTTGGCCCATCTGCTAGGGAAGCAAGGACTGGGAGCTGCATTCTGATCTTCAGCTATCTCTTCAGGGCTTAGTCCCTGGTACGACAGACTATATGACTGACTGTTATTTATTTATTTTTCACTGGACCGGTATATCATTTTTAGGCAATAGACCTAGAAATCCTTTTTGCTGTTTAATCTCCTCTTTTTGGTCTTACACAAATGCACCCTTAAAACACTTGAAAATTGCTCGTGTGTATATTTTGTAGTTCAGTGTTAATTAGCAAGAAAGCCTACCGCATTTTCACATCACAGGATTGTAATCATAGTGGTGGCATGACTTGTCCTAGGGACTAGATGACCTCCTGAGGTCTCTTCCAATCATATCTTCTGTGATTCTATGATTTTGTCATCTGCTTCTCAAATTTCAGCCTCAGTCCTATAAGGTGTGCTGAATCCTTCAGTCCCATTGATATTCAGTAGGACCAAAGATGGCTTCACAATTCCCAGGACATCCTCAGCCACTTGAAGTATCAAGCTCGGAGCTTGCAGCAAAGAGAGAATTTGATAAAAATATATTCAGTAAATGATTTTTACATTAGCTGCTTAATCTAAAGCATTTCCCCGCTGTCACTGTGTTACATATTTGGGCTCAAATGCTTAAAAGCAAACTGTGATAACCACAAACTAGTCCAAATTGAGTTAATGCTACTAGCACTGAAAGAGATTTTTGCAGTCTGCATTTCCTTTTCATATTAATGGACTGCACAACTTACGCATTTCCTAAAGGCCATTTCTGAATTCCATTTCTTTCATTAGTGCAAATACACATTGCTCTAGAGATGACACTTGAAAAGGTTTTTGGGCAAACCTGCAAGATTTAATTAATCCAATGCCAATAAATGTATATTACCATTTGTAGTTCATCTGGTTTTCTTTGATTACAAAAGTTCAAATTAGAAAGTCCTTTCTTTGTACACAGAGAGGCTTTTAGATAATCAATGATAACTCTTCCTGCATATAACCGTCCATTATTTTGTCAACGGATCTGCTATTTAGATGCTCTTCAATCAAACTCCATTACATTCAATATACTGTACTTTCAAGTATTAAATGCTCCACTATCCAAGTCCACGTAACACAATGTCTAGCCAGGTTCAAGCTTTTTCTTTTTCAACAAGTCTGATGCAAATGATAGGTATTTGTAAGTATTTTATAGAAATTATACAAGGACCGATTATGACTCTGCTACAGTTTGCCTTAGGCATTGACTCCAATGGGAATAGTGTGCGAGTAAGGACTGAGATCCTAGTCCTGCAAAGACCGAAGCACTTTCAAATCAATGGAAATTGAAAGCACTCAGTACCTTGCAGAATTCCGTTCTAACAACTGGAGGATTTGGCTTGTTTTTGTTCGGAAATGCACTGCAGTATTCAGTGCTCCCCATTCTCACATGAGCATGAATATCTCTGCATACTGAAATGCACTTTGGGATAGTCAGGCCCAGTCAGTATGGACATTTTAAAATGTGGGTTTATAGAAAATAGACCTTGTCAGGCTAACTTGACTTTTTTATGTGATTACAAGTTTGACTGATAAAGGTAATAGTGTTGAGGTAATAGACTTCTGTAAGGCATTAGAGTTGGTGACAACACAACATTTTGGCTAAGAAAATAGAACAATACAAAATCAACAAAGCAAAAATTAAATGGATTTAAAAACTGGCTAACTGATGGATCTCAAAACATAATTGTAAACAGAGAATCAGAATGGGTGTGTTCCTTCTGGTGTCCTGTAAGGATCAGTTCCCAGCTCTATGCTTTAGCAATGGCCTGGAAGAGAATGTAAAATTATCACGGATAAAATTTGCACATGACACACAGCTTAAGGGAGTGGTAAATAATGAAGAGGACAGGTCACCTGATAGAGTTATCTGGATCACTTGGTAAGCCAGGCTCAAGCATTTTAATATGGCTAAATGTATACATATAGGAAGAAAGAATGTAGGCCATAGTTACAAGATGGGAGACTCTATCTAGGGAAGCAGTGTCTCTATAATCAGCTGAACATGAGCAATACTGTGGCTAAAAGGGCTAATGTGATCCTTGGATGTATAAACGGGAATATCAAGTAGGAGTAGGGAGGATATGTTACTCTATATCTGACACAAGTGTGACTGATACTGGAATACTGTGTCTACTCTTAGTGCCCACAATTTAAGAAGGATTCTGATACATTAGAGGGGGTTCGGAGAAGAGCCATGATAATGATTTAAAGGATGAGAAACAAGCCTTATAGTAAAAAACTAATAGAGCTCAATCGGTTTAGCTTATGTGATGGTTGTTGGGATGCCCAGAACTGGGAGTCAGCTTGTTACTCCCTTGCCTCTTGCTTGTGTTTAACTGAGTGTCAGGTCCCTAACAGTTCCACTTTGTTAGCTACCCAAACACTCTCCTCTGGGCTATGCTGCCCTTACTTCATCTTGCACATTAACAATAGGTGCACCCTAGTCCCTGAGCCACTTTGAAGCAATCCCCTGTAATATTCATCCCCTATCCACTGAACACTCTCAGTAACACCACATCTGCTGTCCCCAAAGGAACAGTGTACACACCAACTTGTGTGATTCAACCAGCTCCTTATATAATACCACAGCACTGAGGTATATTTATAGTGAAAACAATCATAAGTTTATTAGCTAAGATTTAAGAGAGAGTGAGTAAGGATAATGGAAACAGAAGGGTTATGTATAAAACAAATTCATAACATGATTCCTAGAGCCTAAACTTAACAGGTTAAACTTTTCTCTAAATAGAATCATAGAATATCAGGGTTGGAAGGGACCTCAGGAGGTCATCTAATCCAACTCCCTGTTCAAAGCCGGACCAATTCCTAACTAAATCATCCCAGCCAGGGCTTCGTCAAGCCTGACCTTAAAAACCTCTAAGGAAGGAGATTCCACCACCTCCCTAGGTAACCCATTCCAGTGCTTCACCACCCTCCTAGTGAATTTTTTTTCCTGATATCCAACCTAAACCACCTCCACTGCAACTTGAGACCATTACTCCTTGTTCTGTCATCTGGTACCACTGAGAACAGTCTAGATCCATCCATCCGGAGTTAGGAGATCCTGGGAGAACCCTGGCTTCCATTTCAAACTTTAATATGTTTTAGCCCTGGGGGCTGGGACGTGAAGCTGGAGCCAGGCGAGCTCAGAGGGACGAGCTGTGCGTTAGCATTTCCAAGCTGGCATTTTTCAGCCACTCTCATGGTTTTCAGAGCCTGATGAGATTTTCACCCCCCGGCGCTGCACACACCTGCTCCAGACCCCGGCAGGGCAGGCACCAGCCCGGGGGGGGCAGTGATGAGGAGTGTTTCCCTGGCACCACAGCCCCCAGAGGGGAGCAGAGAGTACAGCTCTGGGCAAAGGCAGCCCCTGCAGGGCCCTTGTTCAAAGCCAGGCCCAGTGCGCTGCACGTGGCAGGGGCTGGTGCTCCCCCTCGGCCCTGCTGTCTCCTCACCCCCACCAGCCAAGCGCCATCTCGGCTCCACTCCCACTGCTGGAGTTAATTAGCGAGCACTCAGTGTGCAGCATGGGGAAGTTCAAGTTGATCTCACCCCAAATGTCCTTTTCAGCGTTTCAACTGAGCCTGTTTCAGATCCTGTTTTCATTAATGTAATCATGCTGCCCAATTACTTCTGAGGTTCAGAATAAAGGGGTGTCTCTGTGCCTCTGCCTTATATCCCAAAAGTTCATTGTCTGTCCTCAGGGACAGTAGAACCCCTGTCGCTTGTTTTTTTCAGTTGATTTCACATCCTCCTGTTGTCTTTGTATGTATTGTAAATGACTTTCCACTGTGTTACCTTACAATGCTTACTTCATGTAGTGACCAGTCAGGAAAGGTGAATAAACCTCCTTTATCTGGCAGAAACCTGTTTGTCAACTCTGCCTTAATAGAGACCTTAGGAACATATAGCCAGTATAT